GGGACTGTCTCTTATACACATCTAGATGTGTATAAGAGACACACCCCCCCCTGCTCCACAAAACATCAAAGAGCAGGGTGGTCACCACTAGGGCAGTTCCTAGCTTTATACGTTGTTTCCCCCGAATGCAAAACACCCACATCACGAATGTATACAAGCTATCTTTCAGGTCTGAAGGAGTCATAATGAGAGTGCATCATGTTAGGCGGACATCAAACAGGCAGGCCTGCGAGAAGGGCATCATCACAGTAGCGATGAAACTGGTTGCCTTGGGCACCGGGCCCAGTTTTGCAAAACAAAAAAAAAAGTGAAGCAAAGTTGATGGTTCCAGGTGAGCCACTGACCCCTTGGCTATGCCCGGCCACTACCCATTCCTTTCTCTCCTCTTTCTCTCCTCCTGCCCACCTAGTATGACAGAACAAGGATTCTTTTTTCCTTTCTGTTTTGGTCAGAACAAGATCCGCAACTAGATCAGTTCACGTACCCTCATCATTTTGGCTGCACTGGACCGGTAACCTAAGCTTTTTTTTTTTTTTTTTTTTTTTTTTTTTTTTGCTAATCTTCTCTGTATCGTTCCAATTTTAACAGATGTCCCGAAGGACAACCTAAGCTTTTATGCATTCGTCGTTAGGGAGTGTTGTGTTCGGGGAAAGGCAGCAGGACCCATGGCTTTTCTTGTTTTGCTTTTTTTTTCTTTTTTTTCAAACATAAAAGACAGGCCACCACCTGGCGGGCAAAAAGAGTGCCTGTCAAGCTGAGTACTACCTTCTTCCCCCTAATAGAACGTAAGTTCTGTAACTTCTGTTGTTTTTTTTTGTTTTTTTTTTGGACCATTTCTCGATTTATGCGTGCCATGCTAATCTTCTCTGTATCGTTCCAGTTTGTTTGTTTGTTTGTTTGTTTGTTTTTTTTGTTTTTTTTTTTTTTATTTAAGGGCGACGGCCTTGATATATTATCATTGAGCTGACCGGCCCCAAGCAATTCATTTGTAGTCGGTTTTACTCGTCAAGTTCCATCATTTGGATTCGAACACAGGTCTGTATTTCAACAGTTCATGGGTGTACCCACTGAGCTAGGCTCTTGGATATCGTTCCAATTTTAACCGATGTCCCAAAGGACAAGTTCTGTTTTTTTGGAACGCAGAGTGGTAACTAATTCCTAAAAAAAAAGTGAAAACAGCGAAAGGATTCGTCGTATTTTGAAAAATAGGATTCCCATCATTCCCCAGAAAAAAACGGCCCATTTTTGAAAAGAACCTTCAAAAGAGCCCGGCGAGGTCCCTTTTCATTTTTTAGGACCACATTTCTCGCAGCATCGGCGACGAATGTAGAGCACCCATTTCGTCGACGGCCTGGTGTAGAAGTTGTCCGCTGCGCCGCACCACAGACATTGGAGGTCTTCCAGGCCCATGAACGGTCACAACCAGTAGCCGCTTAGCCGCTGAGCCGCTGAGGCGGGGGGGGGGTGTGGGGTGCCGGGAGGGGGATACGAACTTCAAGGTGTTTGACCCGCACTCCTCCGTTGTGGCAGTCCCACATGCAGGTGCACGGAGAGGTGGAGAGCGGACAGCTTCTGCAGAGGCGGGCATCGGATTCGCACCCTTTTGGTGATTCAGAAGCGATTGGAACTTCCAGTCTCCATCACAGACACTGCTGGACCTGAGGCGGACATGGGGAGGCAGATCCGCATACGCATATAAAACGGGCCGTCGAACAGCTCTTAAGACTCGCCCTAAAAGGCGATCTTTTAATAGTGATCTAACCGCGCCGCCAAAATTCCTAACTTCTTTTAAAGGACTAGTCCTAAATCTTTTAGGACACCGTAAGGAGCGTCTAACGAGACCCCACTGGCAAGGCCTGCAAATAGAATTCAGGAGGTCGTGGGTTCAATGCCCCATCGGCCTCATGTACGTTCCTGGGCATGTTTGGCGCCCGCCACCTAGAGATATAGACCACTGCATCCCCCGACGGGGATTTGAGCAGAGGGATGGTTCCTGTTGGCATGGTCCCTGATGCTGCCGGCTGTACCCTGGCCGGTATTGCCCACCTGCACACCAGGAGCAGCCCCGCATGTTCTCTCGTGAGCATGGTTCTGACTGCTACGGGGTCCCCCATTAGACTATAATTAGGAGATAGTGTAGTGGTAGGTAGGTAGTGTGAGGTGAAATTGAGAGAAGAATGTAGCTCCCATTTACAAAAGGGAAAAGAGAAAAGAAGGGATCAAAGATCCTGTCTTAAAAAGTAGAGCCCTTCAGGGCGCTCTGGGGCCCATCATCCAGGCGTCCAGTAGTATCCCTTTGGCTGATGGTTTCAGCAATCAGGCCTTTAACCCCCCCTTCAGGGCCCATCATCCAGCTCAAAGGCTGCAAACTAACCCCTACTGTCTCTCTCTACAGCACTCCTAACTACCATTATCGCCCTTACACCGCAAGTGCCTCCATGTCTTCCCTTAGAGACCGATCAGCTCAAAGGCTGCAAACTAAACCCTACTATCTATCTCATCGTCTCTCCCTTAAACCCCACGTGCCTGCATGTCCTTCCTTTAGACCCATCACCTCAAAGGCTGCAAACTGGACCTTATCATCTATCTCTACAGCCCTCCTATCCACCATTGTCTCCATTAGACCCATCAGCTCAATGGCTGCAAACTAAACCCTACCACCCACTAACTCCACAGCGCTCCTGACTAGCATCGTCTACCGATCAACTTACAAAAATGTACAAGTGCCTCTTATGGGTACAGAGTCCTAAACCAGCCTGTGCAACCTACAGGTCGAAGAGGCTACAACTACAGTCTGAAAGCTATCAGGCCTACTATGATAAAAGATACCAAAAAGTGGGGAAAAAAAGAACAAAAAGAAACACGTACCTGCATGAAGCTTTTTTTTTTTTTTTTTTTTTTTTTTTGGAGGAAGATCTCTTTTTCTCTCAATTTCACCTTTCACTTCATGAAACATTTTTTTGTCGCAACCGTAAAATCATCTTTGAACAGACACCCCGCCCCAGATAAGTCAGATTGATTCTATTATGGTCATCTGATTGTGTCTGGATTCGAACCTGGGTCTGTACTTCAACAGTTCTGCATTGCACCAACCTTTCATCCCACTGGAGTTTCTTTTTTTTTTTTTTTTTTCTTTGCAAGAAATCTTTTATTCCAACAGACAAAGGAGGCCGGGGGCCTCACAATTCCACCCGGGGTTATCCTGGCAGCATCAGCCAGTTTAGCTTAGGGAGTAGGCTAATCCAGGCACAGAAATGACCAAATCTAGGCCGCTGTCCTGAAACCACTCCTGGAAAAAAAAAAAAAACATGCACAAGCCTTAAAAGCCCAGAGGTGGATGCGTCTCATCCTCCCTGAAAGATAACAGAGTGGTGTTGGGCTGCCCTTGCCACTGCTGGAACTCTCTATTTCCACTCAATTCGATATTCGTTAACTTCCAAAAGACAGGTGGGTCTTCCAAAGGCTGAGTTATGCACCAGGTTCCAGGAGGGTCGATGCCATCTGGGCTCAAGATAGATCGCCACTCAGAAGGAATGGCTTGGATCAGAGTAGCTAATCTTTCCTCCACAAACCATACTGGGCCCAACCTAGCTCTCAGTTCTGTCAGAGAAATCCATTGATTAGAGAGGGAATCCCAAATATCATTCATTCGTAACACCCCGCCCTCGATCCATCTCCTGCCGAAGTTCCCACTTGTGGCATCAGCCAAGAAACAAGATCCATCTTCCTTCCGAATATACGGATTATCAAAAAGTGGTTGAAGCAGCACTTCCACTTTTGTGACTGGTTGTAGCCAAGCTGTTGGTCTGAGTATTTTCCAGGCCAAAATGATAGCCTTCCAAAATTCAGATTTAATAGATCTATTCTGATAAGAGTTCAACAGCAAACAGGTCCAGACGTCCGATGGTCTACTCAAATTCCATTCAGCAGCCAAAATGGTTTCTGCTAAAGACACCCAATGGGAATCTTCCACAGAACAACTAACATAGCAGCGCTCTTTTTCAGAGGGTCCACCAGACCGAGACCACCTTCTGATTTAGGGAAACACAACAGTTCCCAGGCCACTTTTGAGAGGAAACCTTCGTCCTCCTTGGCAAACGGTTTCCATATAAACTTAGCTGAGCGCCTCTTTATCAATGCACAAAGATTCTTACCCAAAGGTCTGACGGCCGCTACAAACCATAACAAGGCGAAGAGAGCACTGTTGACAACCATAGCCCGTCCGAAAATGGATAAGTGGTAAGCCTTCCCCCATGTGGAAACTCTCTGCATTGTGCACTGTAACAAAATACTCTCCTGCTCAACTGTGCAGGAAAGTAATGCTACCTGTACGCCTAGAAATCTCTCCGAGTTATCTGATTTAATTCGTTTCATTCCCCAGTTTACTACCGGTTCATGGGACGACGGTAGAAAAAATACGGACTTTGACCAATTTACTGATGCCTCAGATAACTCTGAATATTCATCCAAACAGGATTTCAGAGCCTGCATAGATGATTCAGTATTCGCCGAAATGGCGAATAAGTCATCGCCCAGAGCTTTCACTTTACATTGCGAACTCCCTGCCGTTAGACCACTAATTTCCCTGTTCGTTCTGATATTACAGAGGAGATTTTCTATTTGCAGCACAAAAAGCAGCGGAGCCAAGGGGCAACCTTGGCGAAGAGATCTAGTCAGAGCAAAAGATTCAGAGAGGTTACCATTAACCATTACGCATTCGTAGGCTTTGAATAAAGAGCTACCACCCAGTTGCATAAATTTTCCCCACAACCCAGGTGTCTAAGTGTGGAAAGCACGTAGGTCCAATTTACCCGGTCGTAGGCTTTTTCAAGGTCAAGCATCAAAATGGAAACATTCGCATTCGTATTCTCAACTACCTCCGGGGACTCAATGGCCGTAACTATATTGTCAAAAATAGAGCGGCCCTGGACGAATGCCGCTTGGTCCTTACCCACCAACGCGGGCAGATCGCGGCCCAGCCTTCTTGCCAACACTTTTGCCAATAGTTTATAGAATACATTGAGTACAGAGATGGGTCGCCAGTTCCTTATTTCGGACCGGTCTCCCTTTTTGTACAAAAGCGATATAATCCCATTCCTCATGCCTTTAGACAGATTCTTCCCCAGCAAGACCTGGTTGTAGATGTCCACTAGCTCCTCTTTCACCACATCCAGATAAGTAGGTATAGCTCTACAGGAAGCCCATCATCACCCTGGGCTTTCCCTTTAGCCATAGAACCCAATGCCTCCCACGCTTCCTCCTCTGTGATCGGACGATCCAAATCCAACTTACCTTGAGTAGGAAGTCTAACCATGAACGAGGACCAATGATTAGAGCCTTCTGTCAGATCGGTGGTAATATCTTCTTCTGGTCTTCTTGTCCTTAGGATGTCTTGATAATACATAGCTACATATGAACATAGCTGAGACTGCTCTCGTGCCACTGGAAGTTCCTTATCAAACGGATGCATCAGTTCCCCCATAGGATGTGAAAGGCGTTTAGGCAACAATTTTTGAAACGATTCGCGTGACATTCTATCGTATACCACTATGCCTTTAACTTTCAAGCGTTCAGCCCATGCATCCGACTGTTCCTGTTGGAAGGCATCCCATTCAGCCAAGTACCTGTTTCTGATTGGACTCCAAACTAGGTTCGAAATCGGATGAAGATTCATCCGATTTTCGGCAAACTCTATTTTCCTGATTAAGGAAGCCTCCTTGTTCTTCCGACCAGCGGCTAGAATCCGAGAAAAAAGGTTCAGATGACTAGAAAAGATACGAGAACCAGCGTCCCACCATTCCGTTTTCGAAGGAAAGGAACTAACGTTCTTTCTCCAATCTGTCCAGAATCTATTCATCCATTCTACTACTCCAGGGTCCCTAAGTATCTGTGTGTTTACCCTGAAGTAGCCACGTCCTCTTTCTGGTTTCAAGGAGTTGAAGCTGGCACAGACAGGTTTATGATCTGAAAGAGTTTGTGGGCACTCAACAATATCCACCACCGCTTGCCATGCCGCGGGAGACAGAAGAAGATAATCCAGTCTTCTACAAATGGTACCTACCCCCTCGCGTTCATTTGAGAACCAAGTAAAACCAGGTTCCTCTGGATAAAGTAGGCTGTAGGGTTCCATTAAATTCATCCCAGCCATTAAATCCAACAACGCCTTTATGTCCTGATTATCCTGAATTGTATCGTTCTTATCCAGCGAGGTATTCCTGCATTCACACTCCGATTATTCACACTTGTCTTGCATGCAAACAACGATACAGCAACTGGCGACATGCGCCCTGACAGTACTTAAGATATCGTAACCAG